ATCTATAGTTTACTTAGTACTAAGATACTAAGATATCGGTTTACATTTTCGTCGGTTCCGTCAGCGGGCAACGACGGTGATGTAAACTGTATATAATAGATACCGCGATACATCATCACCGGTACCATTAGATACACATCGTGCCCTGACTGTTTGGGGATCCCAGCGTCACGTATACAATGTGAAACGCGACAAATAAACGTCTCTGATTGGTGGATAAGACGAACCCAAGAAGGGTATAAAAGATATACCTTATACCTTCTCTCAATAAAGGAATAAAATAAAGTCTTTTTAAGAGAAGAATTAGAATCATATTCATTTTCATTCCATAATCCCAACAAGTTACAATAAAGTAAAGATTATAAAAATTGCAGTCTTGTCACGATTTTTGACACTATTGACCAAAAACTGTAAGAAATCTGTAGTTTTTTAAATCTTTCAACGCGCCTGTAGTTTGAATCTGGGTTATCAATTTTGTTCACATTTTTAGCACGCATGTAAGTTACCGAAATCTAGGAAAGGCATTTATTAAATTTTCACTATGGGCTCAGATGAGAAAGTTAACAAAACGAGAGCTTTTTTATATTTTTTGTTATTCCAAATAATAGCAGAATTTAAAAGAAAAACATTTTAGTCATTATCTAGAAAACATCTATTACCTAAACAAATTCAAGTTATTTAGTGCAGTGTTAAAAAAGTTATTGAATTTAAAAGGTGTGGGAACACTTTTAGGTCACGGTATATAAACTCGAATACGATTTCAAATTATCTATTAATGTTTTCAAGATGAGCGTGGCTATTTAAAGCAGCTATATGATGCAATTATTCATGCCTCCTTAAAAAAGTGGGCCAGATTTTTCATATAACCTAATTTCGGCTGTTATAATTAGAATGTGTTCATTTAATAGTTAGATTTATCGTCCTGACCGTGACAAGTTTTCTATGTTTTAGTAATTTTATCTTTATATCTGCCGGTCCGCGTATACGTTAACAGTGAATCGTAAGCTTAAGGAGTAGGTACATATTTTAGCAGCAATATTTTATTCAGAAGACGTGAAAGAGGTTTCAGGATCGATATCACTTCCTTTTGTTAGAGGATTATTAGTTTATGATAAAACTTTACAGATTTTCAAGAGAACTAGGTATGCATTTGAATACGTGCTCCGTAGATCAATAGTTTCCAAGAAATGCAATCTTTGGGGAAAACAAATCAAAGTTTTCCGCTCGGTTTGTTATCGAATCTCGCAGTGGCAGAGAATAGATCCTCGTAAACTCTGTTATGAGAGATCAGATTAGCAAATTCCTAAACGAATCTTTTCACCAATCTATCTTCATTATTTAATTACTATGTAAGTCCAGTTCATGTAATTTGGAACAATTTCTGACAATTTCTGGCCATTTCCAGTGGCTAACATTTATTGATGATGCAATTACTCTCTATACTTAATTGTATTAACTGATTAATTCTGTTATTTAATCATGCTAATCGATTAATTACAATAATTCTAAAATAATTCCAACGTAAATCCCAACGTTTTTACAAACGTAATAAACAACGAAAATGTAACAGCATAATTGTTTATTGTTTAATTGGATTTCTAGTTTGCTTGTAATACGATAGCTTCAGAAATTATTCGAACACTTCCGATTTTCGAAAGATCGTAAATATTTAGACTGTTACAATTTCATTTTAAAAAATATTGTCTGTATCCATTTTAAATTGTCTTTCGCCAAAACGGTATATAATTTTGTTTAAATGGCATATTTAATATATAATAAGCACGTATTTGAAATTACAGTCAAGTTTATAAAAGGCTAGCCATGGAAGGGATGTTCCATCGATGACAATTCGTTCTGTTCTTTTCATAAAGTTAGCAAATAAATTGAAAATCTAACCAATAATTGGAATGATATTAAAGGAAAAACAGCAAGCAGTGCGTTTTATTGTTATTATGCACTTTTGTTCAGGTAATGTTACTTCATATTTAATTATTTTTTTTGTATACTCATTTTAGTGAAAGCCATATACAGGGTGATCAGTAATTAATGATACAACGAGCAAAGGGAGGGGGATGTAGAATAATACCTTTTTATTTAACGCCCCGTTCTCGAGAAATATTAGGTTGAAAAAAATAATACTATCGAATAGGATTCAAGTGCAGCGCCCCGTCATATACCCATTCTACTGCTCACCATATTACATGCCATGGGAACTTGACACAGCTTTCGCCTCAGTTTTCTCAAAGACACAGCCTTAAATGAAGAAATGTTACTCCCTTTTTCGACATATTTTTGCATGTAGAACGTCTCTTCTTCCAACTGCGTCACCAGTTACTGACCACCCTCTACGCAATTTATAAAGTAAACATTTCTTACACTTAAACACAACCAACTGCAAAATCTGTCGAATTTCGTTCTTTTGTTCAGCAGTGCAGTTCTTCTCCCGTACACGTTAACTCGACACTTCCCTAACAATAAGTAGTGCCCAATGATGGGACCATCAGGAATCCATAAGACACGGCCGCGGTTGTTACCGACTCAGTCTGCAGCCCGTAGCGGTGCAGCGTCGCGAGAATGTGGGTGAAAGCACTTGGCAGCGGGCGAGAACCTGCGAATCTTGATCTTGGCAGTGAGTGCCGCTTGTTAGCCATAAGCGGGCGCGAGTTTAAGGCCATACATCTGCGAAAGCAGCAGCGGCGGACTGAGCGTGCTAGCGGCGATAAATGTAGTTGGCTCGGGCTCTCCAGAGCCGTGATCATTCTTCCGCCGTTTTCTCCCGGAATCGTGGTTTAGAACATCATTCCGCGGTACGGTCGATTACATTTACGGCCGGTCGAGATATCCGCGGGATGCGGTCTCGACCGCGCGGCGACCAATACTGCCGAGGCGGGACATGTCTTTCTTTCTTCCCTAATGTTGCAGCCGATTTTTTCCACGCCAAGGAAATGGAACATCGCGGCGAAGGCGCTAAACATCCGGCTCCGATGCCCGGGAACGCTAAGTGCGAGGCGAAATTCGCTCTCAGCGAACAGCGGACCACCGCGTACTCCACAGCTGCGCGTCGGCTCTCAATGGCATAATTGCAAGTAACGATACCCCGTGGAAATGGACCCCGGCAATTTTTCGTCGGATTACTGCCGCATTATAGTTTGCAGCCGCAGGAGCCAGGCTTTGTCTCGACGATTTTTGTATATTCGTACGGCTAAGTCGCGTTCGCGAGATACCGCGGAAAATAAAGCCACCGTAATTAGTGTAGAACGACGGCGAACGGAGAAACGGACGAGTGCTTAGATTTTTATGGTTTCGCGTCCTTTGTGCAATTATCGGCAAATTGTGAGCAGTCGAATATTTTGGAAGAAACCGGTGGTGTGTACCGGTAATTGCGGCACAATCGGATAAGTGTAATTGCATGTACGAAACATATTCGAGTGCGCACGGTAGAAGTATACACATGGATGAAGAATTAGAGCTTTGGGAAAATAGAAACGAAGTTAACGAAATTGAATTTACGAATGACAAGTTTCTTTTAATAGTGGTCACAGTAGATACTCAGCACGCGGAATTATTAATTAATTTTCGCACTAAATCCTTTTATTTGTGATCTATGTATGCTTAATCTTCTATTGTAAGGGTTGTTTTTGTGAGATCCACGGAGGAAATTGTTATTTATATTATAGTTTAAACAAATTCCTTGCTTTATTTATACTAGCGTTCTGTGATATGGTAACCATCTTATCGTAAAGAAAATAAAAGTTGCATTTGTTATTAAAAACATACGTATTGTTCGGATATTCTGGTGAGTTCTACGACAATAGAGTCATCGTACACTAGATGGTTAATTAAAATAGTATTGTCGTAGAACGCGAGGGACACGACGGCACCATCATTAATTTTATAATTGAGCAATCATAGAATCTCGATTGTCGCAAAACGTAATTCGACTTTTCATCTTTGAAACTGCATTTGCATTGCTGATTGTTTAATACGTTTCTTAAATCCTTAATTTCTTCAATGCGGACCAATTATTACTGTTCCAAATGACGTTATAAATGTAATCTTTTTCTTCGAACTATTCTACGGTTTCGCCAGCTTTTGTTTTTAATTTAAAAGTACGTTAATTTTGTGAACATATTCATAAACTGAAGAAATATTTCTAGGTTATGAGTTTCAAATAAGTACAACAGAGCAACGCGCGCGCGCGCGGAATTTTTGAACAATGTGTAATAATCACATCACTGTGTAATAACATTAATTGTACCACTTTTTGGCTAAGCTAGATTTTGTTGTTTCACTACTGTGATAAATTATAAAAAAGTGAATGCATTGCTTCAAATAACAAATCCATGAAAATTCTTCAATTTAATTACTGATTGGTGGAAAATAAATGATCGTTGTAAAAATGGTTGTGGAAGTCTCGAAAAGCTTTCTCACTTTTGTAATTAGAAGTCTTCGTCTTTCTCATAGAGGGTTAAAGTCTGAAACGGCCCACGACAATGACCCTGAATGACCTTCAAAGGCCACCGTATCACAGAAACTTCAAATGGCAAATTTGCAACAAGTTCGTTAAAGTTACTTCAATAGTTCATCGAAAATTCTGTTCCATCTTTACTGTTTCTTGTTCTTTGAAGAATCGCGACCTTTTACGTCGATATTGCTAGGACATCCGTAATTGTATGGGCAAAGGGGCTGTTACATGCGAACGATTTTCTTCATCCAGACGGTGAAGGGGGAATCCAATCGGCCGGAAGAGGTGAAATAAAGGTACTCACCGGCCTTTACCGTGATTTCACGGCCCAACACCCTGCCGACGCTGTTCGAGGCTTGACATCTGTAGACGGCCGAGTGGACATCGTGTCGGTAGCTCTCCGCGCCGAACGGCAAGAAGTACATCGAACCGTTTACCAGCGTCTCGCGGATGTTCGGTATAGGGAGCACCGGTGACCCGTCCCCCATAAGCCAATCAATCCTCGGCGGGGGACTGCCTTGTGCCGAACAATGGATCATTGTCCCGGTCTCGTTCGAGAATTCTACCGACGAGCGTGGCTCTGAGATCAGCACCGGACCCTGACTATCCAGCACCACTCCCCGTCCTGAAACATGGACCGCAGTGTGTTAGCTTTAAAGAGGGTCTCATCGATCCTGTCGCAACTAGAAAGTATAGAAGACTCTTCCCGTACGACGAACATGCATATTTTATAGTCCCCATACTTTCCAAAGACTTTCGCTTTTCCCTTCCTCACGTATACATCTTATTCGTCGCTTTTAGCAACGAGGTTATGCAGTTATAGTGTTGTTGTACTCTAACCCCTTGCACCAAGATTTCTTTTATAATTAATTTGCGCAGTTCTTCGTTCTCAATCATTTTCCTTTATAGAACGAGACAATGTTACGGTTGCAAAGAAGAACGCCGCAAATGTTTCCACTTTTTAGATATTTTCGTTTAAAGTTCTGATCACTAATGCTTCGTATTATATAAGCTTTTCATATTGCATAATTTCTTTGCGAGTCTATAGAATTTGTTTTCACAATAATTTTTCTGATCAATACGTGAATCCTACGTGCTACAGTTCAATTAACGCATTGAATCAAATTTGAAGTTGTGCGCCAATTGTGAACAGTTCTGATGTCAATCATATCGAAAACATATGGGCAAAACTTAGAAAGCTCGTCGACGAGAAACAGACAGGAAATAAAGAAAAACTTTGACTGGCTATCCGAATATCGTGTGAAGAAATTTGATCCGTGGACTGCAAAAACCTTATTAATCCCATGCATGTATAAAAGCTGTAATACACACACGTGAGGAAGCAACAAAATAATAGTTAATACTTAATTGTTCCATGCTTCGTACGATCAAAGTATTATTTATTTGGACTATGATCGAAAACCTTTTTCCAGTATTTCTACTGATCGGAAACTTTTTCCCATGCAACATTTTGTTTTTCCACTTGTGTATCGTTGATAATACTGTATGCTAAGCTTCGTTTAATTCCCCATTGCATTTAATTATAAAGATAATTATAATTAAAAATAATTATAAAGTATCTTATACTTAAAAGCAATCAATGTTTTTAATCAATTTCCTACTAACGCGTCTGATCGGAAACTTATCGTCAGGAGTTCTATATGCATATTTTCCTAATTTATGTGCAATATTAATTTGATCGAACATCGATTTTGATTGAATATTTTCTGCCAGGGGTAGTACAGTATATTCTCCCTAATTCGCGCTGAGATTGCGCACAAAAAAGGACAATTTGGGAAGAGGAGATGCGATTATTCGAGTCTTCTGACTCGATTTTATAGCTACCGATTGTCAACAACTATAAAAAACGAAAGGCTCGGCGCAAGACGCAAGGCTCGAATAATCGTCTCTCCTCTTCTCAAATTGTCCTTTTATGTGCGTAATCTCAGCGCGAATTAGGAAGAAATTACTGTAGTATTATTCGAGCCTTGCGGCTCGTTTTTATAGTTGTGAACAATTGATGGCTATAAAAACGAGCCGCAAGGCTCGAATAATCGTATCTTCTCTTCCCAAGTTGTCCATTTTTGTGCACAATCTAAGCGTCAATTAGGACGAATTTACTGTATAACCCCACGAACATATTGTGCCAAAGACGTTTTACGAAATTGAAGAAATTCAGCTGTTTACGCAGATACATATACGTATACCGTTATTATTCAAAGCCACTTTGAATAGCGAACCTTACAGCAATGACTTTCAAGTAGTAAAAAGTAAATGTGTCCGTCACGTAAAGAAAGGACTGGAAAACCTGCCAAACTCGACAGTAAAGGTTATGTCCTCCCGCGCTCAACTAGTTTGCTGCTGAAGTCCTCGTCATCGGCCAGCATTGCCAGCATTGCCAGCAATGCAAAATGTTCGCAAACGTATACGACGCGCGGCGGCTAAAGAGGCAGAAGCGAGAAAGGCAAGAATTGCACGGAAGGAACGAAATGCGGCCTTGTCGGAGCAGTTCGTAAAAGAGGAAAGTTTGAAGTACGGGCCAGAGCATAGTAGATTAGCATAAGATTCCCGGGAGGCTTCAAAAAGTATTATTTAAGTGTACCGAAAACTTCTAACGTGCTTTCTGAAAAACATCGTTTTCACATCGCCCTGTAACGTAACGAAAAGTATTGTGCCGATTTACTTCCTTCCTTACGTACGTATCCAAAGCACAGCATGAACCAATACCGTTGAATTTTCTTCATTAATTTGTTAGGTATTACACATAAGCGCGTGTGTGCTTTTTCTTCAAAGTATTCTATTACTTTTGCGGTTTTCGGACTTTAAGATAGAAATAGGTTCTTGCGACACATTTATAGAACGAAGAAATATTTCTAGGTTCTGATAAATATAGCAGAGCGACAGAATTGATTGGTACTGTGATCGATATAAATCATTCTAACATTAATCCGAATTAGTTTTGTGTAATCAAATTTTTGTCAGTAGCTTCGCTAGTGCAGGAAAGATTGGTTTACTACAAATTCGTGAAACTTCGTTAATTTCCAATAGGCTTCCCTAAAAAGATGCTGAACCTCTTCTATAAAAATCTGCAATTTAATTACTGGGTTGACAGAAGATAATTCGGAAAGCTTTCATAACATTATAAATAGAAGTCTTCATAATATATGTCAATAACTGATTTAGGTTAAGCGATCCGAATCGAAAGGTTTGAAATGTTAACTTGTCCCAAAATGCAGTGTAATATGTCAGCTCGTGCTTTAAACCGAAATAACTTTTTTATTATTGGTCCAAGCGATCTAAATTTTGTTGAAATGCTGTAATTTTGGAAAAATTACAAGTGGTTCGTTCGTCTGATAAAAGATTTAAGAAATTATGTGTTTTCAACTTTTTTATCTGAGCCCATAACGAAAATTAAAACATGCATTTTCTAGATCTCGGTAATTTATCATTGCTAACATTAGCTGTAAGCAATTCACGATTGCGAAAATCGTAATTTTTCACAAATTCCAACCTAAAACAGGTCATTTTTACATGTTTCAGTGGCTGTATCAACAAAATGCATTTGTTAGAAATGACTGTGTGCGTCAGTGTTTCCACGTTGTCTGTGTTTAGATATTTCCCGGTATATAGCTGAAGTGTAGACAAGGGAACGGGAAACAGTGCCTTGATGCGCTTGTGCTAGCTGACTTCCTGGGACTGACTTGGAGTCCCTACTTTACACCCCTGCCTGGGTCCCTTCGCAGCCAGGGAAGAAACGCCTCCTACCCCCGCGCGTCTATCGCTTACGACGATGGTATCGTATTCCAACAGCATTTTGAAAATTTTCGTTCTAAGCTTAGATAAAATAATTGAAAATACATCATTTTGTATTTCTTTTATCATGCCAACTAATTGCAATAGTGAACTAATCCCGTTAACATCCCAACAAAATTTGGATCGCTTGGCACGATTATAAAGAAATTATTTCGTTTTAAAAGATGTACATAGACGAGCTTCATGTTTTAGGTATTAATTCCAGAATTGCGATGAGCGTTGATCGACCTTGAAGGTCAGCAAACGAAAAATAACGATCACCTTTCTTACAGCAAGAATTTCTGAAAAATTGTTCGTATCTCATACGTAAGTACGCGTACGCTTGAACGTTTTCTACGAAGAGCAGTTCTTATCTAAAGTTTTCACGACTCGTGACTGCGACGGAGCCGCCTCGAGAAGTTCTAGGATTAATATGAGAACACCCAGTACTTAAAAGGTGCGGCGTGCTGGTTTTTCCAGACGGACTCGCCCTTATGCATGAATAAACCACGGATGGGGTATAGTGAGATATATACGACACGGGTAAAGTGTAAATAAATAACGCGAGCGAAAATGGGTTAAATATGGAGATACCGTACTCGAAGTAAGAAACAACATGCAGAATACAACGGTTGCCTCAAAACTTTTTCGATATTCGCTCCTATGTATATCGATGGCAGACAGTTTATATCGCAAAATGCGCGAAACGCTGCTCCCCCGTGTATGTGTACACACATCGATGAACACGGCGTACTTTCATTTTGTTGCAAAGCGAAGAGCTGCCGTGCACGTCAGTCAACAGTAACGCTGAAATCGATCATATTCGATCTTCGTCTTGTCAGTTATTACGGATCCCGCGACATCATTTGCATTTTTCACGAAGACCGAGCAGGTTCATCTTTCATGCCCCGAACACACGCCGGCTGCAAAAATTGTCTCGCCTTTTTGACAAACTTTTAAACGTATTAGACGGTACCGCGAATACATTTCAATTTTCATTCCATTCTTTAAATCAATGTTTTCAACGTACTTTGAATATTCATTGGGAAACCATGCATTTATCATCGCGCGACTGCATCGGTGCTTTTGTCGAATATTCTTGGAGGTTTCCGATGTTTTCGAACCGACGACGAGTGTGTCTACATTAAACGTGAAAAGTAGTATAAGATAAGAGGAAGTATAAGATAGTCCAAAACAGACGAAAATACGGACTTCATATTATATTTATATGAAACAGCATTAAACACAAAATTCAACCATTTACTTGTAAAAGAAATGTTTGCCTTAAATAAAATTAATAGCGACCCTGGCAAAGTACAATTTTATATCGGTATGAGAAATTTACATAAAAATCTGAATAATTAAGATAGCACAAAAAAAGAAAAATGTACTCATTGATAGAATTAAACATCCTTCACAGTCCCGTTCAATTGTATAATCTGGATCAATAATTATATAAGTTGGATCCTACGATTTTGGCTGAAATGAATTTCGCGTTACTCGTTTAAATTCTGGGAACTCTCTCGTACAGTCCTATTTAGCACGAAACAAAATAATTTTGTGCACCGGTATAATGCCAGTAGCATGCAAAAAAAATATAGTTGAAGAAAGCAGATGAATAGAAGGCACGAAATCCCTCGCAGCCAACGAATCTCGACGTTTCTACAGAGACACGAAGAATTTCGACATTTCTTTAGGAATACCGGTATCCTAATCCAATTTCATTTCCGTCTACGCAAAAATACCACGAACAGTGGATGTTCCCCGGCTAGACGGAATAGCTGAGATCGATGACGCAATGGCGTCAAAGATATGAATAGAGAGACGGGACGA